TCGGCCAATGGGAGCTGCAGAGGCACAGGTCAATATAGCAGCGGTGGCCAGTCAGGTGCTAACCCTGGGGAACTGCCACTGTTTTATTGCCCTTCTCCATTTCCTGCCTCCCACTTCCAGTACAAGATTAGCTGCTTGTCTCTTTCACATGCAGTAACCTAGCATGTTTTTCCCTTGGTCTGCAGCCCTCCCATACGCCTTTCTGTTTTTCATGAACTTCTCAGAGCACTCATATTAATTAGGTGAATGGGGTGGGAGGAGCACAAGGGACTTACATCCCTTAAGGTCAATTTGCATAACAGCTGATCTGATGTTGGGCGTTGTGCAGCCTGTTACCTCTAAACATGGGTCCATATCACACTAATACAGCACAAGCCACAGTTGCCATGATGACCAGGATGCTGACTGAAGTCCCCACAAGGGCTAGCTGCAAGGAAAGATGCTCACTGGTGCTAGCCCTGCAGCCTGAGGGCTAGCACATGAGTGCTGGCTTCACAAAAGTTTCCTCTAACCCAGAAGGTTCTCACAATCACAAATTGAGTGGAAGTGCTTAGGCTGTTTGCTTGTTTCTGGGTTTGCTGGCGAGTAAAGGTCACTCTCTGCACCTGGGATTGGAACCGACACAGGACTTGGAGCAGCATTGACATCCAGAGTGTCCTTGGACAGGAGCTGTGTCTGCAGAACATAACTCCAAATGGCAAAGGGGAGCCTTTTTATAGCCACAACTTGCAGCAGCTGGGCAGGGTGAGGGAGTTTTTCCTCAAGAGCAGCAAGGCTCTGAGACAAGCTTTGCCCAGCCTTGCTGTGATACTGTACCTTGGACACATGCCCTGTAACCCTCATATTCCTCATTTTATATCATCATGGTCTTACCTATAAAGTATGCCTTGTAAGGTGTCAGGAGTGCAACTCTGATCTGCTGATGGTCATTTCTCTATCTGTATACCTGTATCATCAATGCATATGACGTTATGTGAATGTGTTGTATGATTGTCACTAAATCATGTTGTAGTGTGGGCAATCAGCCTGATGTCAGCTTCCCAGATATATCAGCAAGGAGAGTAGCCAGTGCCTGGGTTGGGTACCAAACAACCATTGTCCAGCAAAGGAGCTACAATACAATGCATGAGGGGAGTTGCTCATCTTTGCCTGGAAACTCAGCAATGCCTCCAGACATGCCTGAACTTTTGCTTTCCAAACATGTGGACTGAGGGTATGAAAACCTAACACAGGGGGCCATACTTGGCCTTTCTCCTGCCACACCTGCTGCAAGCAAAAAGGGCACTCTGAAGATTTCAACCTTGGCCCAGTTTTTAAGGGAGGAATATGCATACTGTGGATTGCACTATCCAGCACTCAATGAACCTGCTGAAGGTGGGAACCAGCCAGATGGAGGAGGGATGCTCCACCCCCAACTTAGCCTAGCCTCCAGTGGCCAGAGGAGTAAAAGGGGTAAAAAACAAGGCTGATGTCATGGTAGGCTCTCTATTACAGACCATCTAACCAGGAAGAAGAGGTGGATGAAGCTTTTTTAAAACAACAAAATTATCCAAAGTACAGGACTTGGTGGTGATGGAGGCCTTCAACTATCCAGACATCTGTTGGGAAAATAACACAGCAGGGCATGGATTATCCACCAAATTCTTGGAATGTATTGGAGATCTTTTTTTTTATTTCAAAAGGCAGAGAAAGCTATGGGGGGAGGCTATTCTAGATTTGATTTTAACAAATAAAGAGGAACTGGTTGAAAATTTGAAAGTGGCAGATGGTGTGAAAGTGATCATGAAACGATAGAGTTCATGTTTCTAAGGAATGGTAGAAGCAAATTAGAGACAATGGATTTCAAGAAGGCAAATTTTAGCAAACTCAGAGAGCTGGTGGGTAAGGTCCCATGGGAAGCAAGACTAAGAGGAAAAACAACTGAAGTTGGCAGTTTTTCAAAAGGACATTATTAAGGGCGCAAGACCGCACTATTCCACTGTGTAGAAATAATAGGAAGTATGCCAAGAGATCATCCTACTTAACCAGGAGACTTTGAATGATCTAAAAATCAAAAAGAAGTCCTATAAAAAGTGGAAAGTGGGACAAAGTACAAAGGATGTATATCAACCAATAACACAAATAGGTAGGAGCAAAATTAGAAAGGTGAAGGCACAAAATGAGCTCGAAATTAGCTAGTGACATAGTGGCTACGTCTAGACTGGCATGCTTTTGCGGAAATACTTTTAACGGAAAAGTTTTTCCGTTAAAAGTATTTCTGCAAAAGAGCGTCCAGATTGGCAAGGATGCTTTTGCGCAAAAAGTGCTTTTGCGCAAAAGTATCCGTGGCCAGTCTAGACGTGATTTTGCGCAATAAAGCACCAATCGCCATTTTAGCCATTGGGGCTAAATTCTTCCCTGTCTACACTGGCCCTCTTAGGCAAGTATTCTTGTGCAAGACGGCTTTTTCCTGAGCGGGAGCGTGAAAGTATTTGCACAAGAAGCACTGATTTTGTACATTACAAAGTCAGTGCTCTTGCGCAAATTCAAGCGACCAGTGTAGACACACCCAAAGGGTATCAAGAAAACATGCCACAAATGTATTAGAAGCAAGAGCAGGACCAAGGACAGGGTAGGCTTATTGCTCAATGAAGAGGGAAAAACAGAAAATGCGGAAATGACAGAGGTGCTTAATAACTTGTGTCAGTTTTCACTAATGTCTAGTTGGCAGCCAATATCAAGCGGTGTGCTCCAGGGGTCAGTCCTAAGGCTGGTTTTGTTCAACATCTTTTATTAATTACCTAGATGAGGGGATGGATTGCACCCTCAGCAAGTTTGCAGATGACACACTGAGCGAGGTCGCTATGCTGCAGGGTAGGGAAAAGGACCAGAGTGACCTAGAAAAATTGGCGGATTGGGCCAAAAGAAATCTGATGAGGTTCAACAAGGAGAAGTGAAGAGTCCTGCACTTGGGATGGAAGAATCCTAAGCATTGTTACAGGCTGGAGACTGACAAGCTAGGCAGCAGTTGTGCAGAAAAGGACCTGAAGATTACAGTGGACAAGAAACTGGATGAGTCAACAGTGTGTGTGCCCCTGTAGTCAAGAAGGCTAATGGCATATTAGGGTGCATTAGTAGGAGCATTGCCAGCAGATCTAGAGATGTGATTTTTCCCATTTATTCGGTACTGGTGAAGCCACATTTGGAATATTGTGTGCAATTCTGGGCCCCCCATTACAGAAAGGATGTGGATGCACTGGAGAAAGTCCAGTGGAGGGCAACAAAAATGATTAGGAGGCTGGAGCACATGACACATAAGGAGAGGCTGAGGGATTTGGGCTTATTTAGTCTACGGAAGAAAAGAGTGAGGGGGGATTTGATAGCATCTTTCAACTACCTGAAGGGAGGTTCTAAAAAGGATGGAGCCAGGCTATTCTCAGTGCTGGAAGATGACAGAAGAAGGAGCAATGGTCTCAAGTTACAGTGAGGGAGGTCTAGGTTAGATATTAGGAAAAAAACTATTTCAGTAGGAGGGCAGAGAAGCACTGGGATGGGTTACCTAGGGAGGGGGTGGAATCTCTATCCATTGAGGTTTTTAAGGCCAGGTTTGACAAAGCCCTGGCTGGGATGATTTGGTCCTGCTTTGAGGCTCGTTGATCTCTTGAGGTCTCTTCCAACCCTAATCTTCTGTGTCACTATGATCACTAGCAAGGCATTGTGAGAGACTGCCAAAGCTGGAGAGACAGTGGGACACCATGGTCCCACTGTCTCAGGCTGGGATCCTGCCACACTTGGCCAGTGGGATTAGGGCTCTGCCACACCTGCAGTGTGGGGGTAGCACCAGCCTAGTGAATGCCCTCCCAGGTACTGATAAAGCTGCTTAGTGCTAGCACCTGAAGCTAAGTCCTCAAAGAAACCTCCACTGGATGCAGCAGGAAACCTGGGGAACAAAGGAAGCCCCTGCCTATGACTGTTGCTGCTGTGGCCAGATCATTACACACACCCTGGCATCAGGCCCTGCAGTATCTGGCCCACTGGGATCTGGGGCACACAAGGCCAGGCTGTAAGGAGAAGCTGTCATGCAGAGACTGGAGTGCTGATATGGGACAGGCCAGGATGTGGTGCAGTTCACAGACTTGCCCCCTCCCCTCAATAAGCGTCGGCTGGAGTAGTTCAGAGCTTGTTCTGGGGGAGAAACTGAGACTCACCTGGGACTGGGAGGAAGGGCTCCCTGCAGATCAGTGGGGGTCTCTGATAATGTTCCCTCCAATTTTTCCCATCCATATGAGAATAAATTTTGTTCTGTGCACAGAGGCATGTACGAATGTGCACCACCAAGAGAAACACATGCTGCCAGCTGTGGGTGCCCTGTTAAATCAGCTGTGCGGCACCTGAATCCCTCCTGGGTAGCCACCCACGTGCACAGCTTACAGGGAACTCTGGTCCCTGAGAGACGCAATCACCCTGCAAAAGGAGCTGGGCGTTGCAGATCTTTCAAAGCAATAGGAGCAGCAAGCCGCCTCCAGCATCAGGCATGGTGTCAGGGTGCAGGGGTGAGGTTCTGTCCCTTCTCTGTAGCCCCAATAGGATCAGGGCTGGGATGTGTGAGGAGGCGGAAGCTGGCAGCCTTCTATACAGTCAGTTCACTCTAAAGGTCAGAGGGTAGCTGGACGGAACGAGCAGCTAATAAAAGCCACAGCAGTGACTGCACTGTCAGCAGATTAAGTTCCCAGGGCCGAAGGTTGGGGGCAGGGAGACTGTGTTTTACAGGGAAGCCCTTGGACAAACTTTGCTAAGAGGAAGCAGTGGACCTGTGGGGGGAACAGCATGAAGAGTAAAGCCATGAGCAACACACCAGCCAGCAAGCATGTCAAGGGAGCCTGAGGAATGGGCACTGGGTTACAGGTGCACAAGTGTCTTACTGCAGGGTCCCAGCCCTCCTCCCCGACATGGGTCCGCCTTAGGGGGTGAATCAGCAGCAGGATTCTAGTACTCTGCCCAATCTCTTCTAGGCAGCAAGCTCTCAATCTGCACAGGTCCTCTGGGCCCATCCCATCCAGCATCTGAAGTGCAATCGCAGCAGTCAGCCATGGCACCGGATAGAAACCAGAACCCCAGCACCCAGCCCTGCCCCTCAACTGTACCTAGTACCGGCCTCCTCCTGGGGTACAGCACAGAGATCTTATAGCCAGAGGAGCCCGTAGGGATGCCTAGTCTGGCCTCGCACGGCCCTAGGTCCAACCAACACCAGCACGAACAGAACAAGGCTGCAGAGACTGGGGGCTAAGGGTTTTCTCCGTCCATTGTTTTATTAAACATTCACAACTCAAGTACCTTCATGTTCGGCCAGTCAGAGACACAGGGCAAGTCTGGCACTGGGGCGGAGAGAGCATTTTGCTCCCTCGCACCCCGCGCCCAGCCTGGGGCACTGGAAGGCCAGACCCTTGTGAAGATGTAGCAAGGAGCTGTCTGGCTTTGTGACAGGGTTCAGAAAGGCTTGTAGGAGCTTTGCTCGCTGAGGGCCAGTTCCAAAGGCACAGAGGGCAGCCAGGAGCTGGAGGCCCACTGAAAATGAAGGGTGCCCCCCACTCCCCTTTGTGCTGGTGACTGTCTCCTCCCCTTCCCCAGCACTCAGATCAGGGGTTACTCCAAGGAAATGCATCTCAGTTGACCAATGAGGGACCCCATTATAATGGGCAGTTTCAGCCACCCCAGCTGGGCCTGACAAGAGCCCAGAGGCAAGAGCAAGAGGAACATCAAGGCACACAAGTAAAAGCAGAGCCAGGTCTGAGGCACAGTCCCAATGCTCTGGGGTCCAGGAGGCCCTGGTGCCTCCCATTTTCTGATTAAAAGCAGCTTGGCCCAGTGGCTCAGGAGGGTGCAATGTGAACATGATTCGTAGCCAATAACCCAGCCACCTGTAGGGGCAGGCCAGGGCAGGCCTGACTCAGGGACATCTGTCCCTGGCTGGCAGTAGCCAGAAGCTGCACAAAGCGCAGAAGGGAGAAAGAGCAACGTAGGACGTGCAGGGAGCTGCGAGGCAGAGCAGCTGAACAGTCAGGAGAGGATTTGGAATCCCAATGGGATTTGATTTGAGCTCCAGAGCAAAAGGCCAAAGAACTTTCTCCAGCTGCTTCTGACAATCTGCATGGACATCGCCCTGGGATGCTGCCTTTGGTGCCTGGGGAGTTATCCAGGGTCCTGGCTCCGTGACAGCCAGGGCTGGGCACCGGAAGAGACTTGGGGGAGCAGTGTTTCCTGTGGGGGTGCTCCCCATGCACAGTGGCTTCTTATAAAAATGGGGATTGTTGGCCCTTTTTAAAATCATCAAGAGTTTGGCTGTGGGCAAATCAAATCTGGCAGGGACCCACACGTGCTCTCAGTCCCTCACTGTGGGGAGGATAAGCAAAAAGGAACAGTAAGAAACGACTATTGCAGCAGACAACGAAGAACCTTTGCCCTGCCGGGCGGCCTCTATAAAGGATACAGCTTGCAAAAGCAGATTTTGTCCTCCCAGCCAAAGCAACCTTCACATGCTTCATCTACAGACAACTCACGAAGGAAGCCCAGACGAGCCCCACGGCAAACTGGACCGGTCGCACCACTGATGAGGAATATGATGGCAGGTCCCCCCCAAGCAGGGTGTTGTGGGGAGCAGCAAATTTTAGACACCTAAGAGGAGGGCATTTAATTTGGTTTCTCCATATAGAATCGAGAGTGCATCCTCTGGCTGAGGGCTGAGCAGCCCTGGGCCACGGAAGGGGGACCCCCTTTCCCAGGATCTGTGATGGCTCAGACGATCCCAGCATCTTTCTGTACACAAAGGCTCATGCTCCAACAGCGGCTCTCGACTCATTTCCATGGTTCAGCGGTTGGGGCCCAAGGCCCAGTTACATGTGGGCAGGATGGTTCTGAAGGCACTTGATGAAGTCAGCGACGGGTTTGCCCTCGTAGCAGATCTGATACACAGCAGTGAAGAGGGGGAACCTATGGGCAGATGAACAAAATGAGGCTTTGCACTGATGGTAGCAAATCCCTCTCTGTACATACAGTGCCCCAACCTCAGTGGCATCAGCTGCAGGACCCCTAGAAATCCCTGCACCCCACTCTCTTTGCTTAACAGCGCAGCAGTTTAGGTCAGGAAATGAAGACTGGGGGATTCATCCAAGACTGCAGGAGAGGCCCACGAGGCTGACCAGATCTGCTGTTGATAGAGCACAGCCTGCATTCTGGCATTGGCCCGGTAAGACTCAGGGCCACAAGATCTTAATGACCACAGTCAGCTGATGCCTCATTCAACAAATGACACGTTCTGCAGCACAGCACCTGCTCTCCCTCTGCTTGGCACTGGGCTCAACACCAATCCTGAGGCAAAAGTGCCTCTAATTAATAGAATGTGACGTGTTCTCACAAGTCTCCTCTCCAAGTTTTGAGCCACGATGGCCTCCTTAGCTTGCAGGAGCTGCATAGGCACATGCATTGGCTTTACACCTGCAGGAGCGAGGACCCCGGGGTTGCCCTCAGAGGTAACTGGCAAGTCACTGCTGCACCAAAAATGGTCTCTTCCGGATTTAGCACCAGCTGTACCTGGCATGACATGTCATCGCCTGCTCTTCTGAGCAGCTGTGGCTGAGGTGGTTGGAGGAGACTGGAGCTCCTGTCCCCACACCAGACATGGTGGGTACAGTCTGGCAATTGGGCAGGCAGAGTGGCTGACCTGCAACCCCAGGGGAGGCCTGACTTCACACATACTAGGCACCTCCCCAGATGGCGCAGACATGAAGAACCAGACTAGAGAAGCTAAAAAACAAGTAATTGGGTAACTGCTGAAAATGTCAGTGGTTACAGTTACATGCACCTGCAGTGCAGGGCAGCAGCCAGCTCCCTGGGAGCCAGAGCACATCGGCTCCCGCCTGCCGCCCGACTTACAGGGGCTGGCTGCCACCTTGTGCTACTGCCTGATACCCAGGCGTATCGGTTAACCGTGTAAACAGGTATCCTATTACATCCCCAACCAGCCTGGAAGGCAGGAGCTGGTCACAACAGCACACGCTGCCCATTGTGCCTGACAACATCGGCATCACTTCTACTGCATTTGTGGGGGCAGAGCTAAGGTGTGGGATGTGGCAGAGAATCCGACCCACTCACAGATGGGGCTCAATGGGAGACTATGGGCAAGCCTTGGGGGAGGGACAAGAGCACTCACTTCTCCACCAGGTTCTTGTGTTTGAGGATGTGGTTCAGCTCGGCAGACGTCTGGGGACCCTGCAGCTTCTGTCCGTTCAGCATCTCCTTCTCCAGCTGCTCAATGGACTAAACCAGCCAAATACAACTCGACCGTAAGGTGAGTGGGGGCTGTTCGCCCTCAGCCCTGGCCCCAGCCTCTCCTGGCTTCCCCTGGTCAGACAACGCCCTCCCAGGGGAGGACCACATGGGCTGCAGAGAGCGGATCGGACCTCCCAGCTCCTGGCAATGCCCCAGCAATGAGGAGAGCAGGCAGGGACCTATCAGGGCAGAGCTCTTTCCAGTGATGGGTGGGGCGTCCACAGCATCCAGCACAGACTGAGCCTTGGCCGCAGGACACTGAGTGCGGATCTGATTCACCAAGGAAGCGAGGCCACCGTACTCTGAGCCACAGGGCACCTCTGGCTACATCCCAGTCCCTGCCCAGCCCCGTCCCCCACGAAAGAGCAGGCGGCTCAAGTCTCTGTTGCCACCAACGCTCCCCACCCTGACACGCACCTTCCCGGTTTTGACAAAGGCCTCGGCCACCCTGCGGTTCCTGCCGCCATAGCAGGTGGTGATGAGGTCGGCGATCCCACAGCTCTCCAGGAAGGTGGCCGCAGTGACAGGGCCCTTGCAGAAGAGCTTGGAGAAGGTGATCATCTCCACCAGCCCGAGGCGAATCACAGCTGCCTTGGTGTTGTCCCCAAAGCTCAAGCCGTCACAGAAACCAGCCCCTACAGCTACAACGTTCTGGGGGAGACGACAGCACAGAGGGGCCTGTTACCAGCCGTCAGTGCCACGAGACACCTCCATGGTCCTGGAGCATTGAGGCTCCTTATGGGTCCTGAGGGTTCACACCTGCTGCTCCTGCTCAGCGCCTCTCAGCTAAGCAGGGCTGGATGAGGCCCACACCTGGATGGGAGACTGAGGTGGCATCCTTACTACATCCACTTGCCTCAGCATGACCATGCTGCTGCCAGAGGTGGGGTAACAATAAGGCCTCCCTATTGCTCCCATGATGCTTGTGCCAGCGCAGAGGCGTTACCATGGTAACCCAGCCAAAGACCACCTCAGGCCTGCAGAGGTGATAGGCTAGGCCTGTTGCTATCCCCATGCCTTGCCCTTTCATGCACCTTCAGGGCCCCACAGATCTCCACGGTGTCAGCTTCTGGTACCACAGTGATCCGGAAATTGGGTGTCTGCATCAGCTCCTTCAGGATTTGCCCATGCTCCAGGTTCTTGCAGCCTAAAGGGAGTTGGGAGAGGCATTACCAACAGGGACTCCTGGAGAAAGACTGTGCCCAACCTCCGCCTGCCCAATGAACTCATACCCCTGCACTCCTGACTGCCCAGCCCTGCGGCCGAGCTTTTAGAGCTGGGGCCTTGGGAAGGAATCTGGTTTACCTACGCTGGGGCTTCAGAGATGGCACACGGATTAGTCCAGTGCCAGCTCCCACCAGCCCCACGAAAGGACTCCAGGGTCCCACTGACAAAAGGCAGCAAAGGTGCCTTTTCCAGAGCAGGAGTCTCTCCCCTGGGACCTGGCATTAACACAACTCCCACAGCTACACACAGCACCCTCGCCCTGAGCAGCTAAAGGCAGGGCCTACTCGCCAGGACTTAGAATGACAGAACCATAGAGCTGGAAGAGACCTCAGGAGGTCATCAAGTCCAGCCCCCTGCCCAAGGCAGGACCAATCCCAAATAAATCAACCCAGCCAGGGCTTTGTCAAGACTTGGGGCTTCCTTTCCCAGCAACCCGCTCTCTGATACCGCATAGCCACAGCCAGACAAGGGGGAAACTGACACAATGTGGGGACAAGTGACCTCTGGGGAAAAAGCGGCAGGGAAATGCGCTGAAATGTGCAGGGAGGCCAGGCCAGGGGACCGGCAGTGCGTGAGCCCTACCCTCCACCTAGAAATTAAACCCAACCCCGGCTAGGCTAGCAAGCAGCGTTTGCCAGACCCAGCGGGGCTCCTCTGAATTTCATGCAGCACCCTCCCCAAAGTGCTGACCTAGGAGAGAAGCAATGGGCAAGGACCAGGAGAATTAAACGTATGGTGAAGCTGGGCAAGCACAGATGGTGTCTGTCGTTAGCCTGGGGCTATCACGAGAGGCAGATGGTCTCTCAAGGGCTGGCAGCAGCAAGGGGCCTTGAGTTTTCTTTTATTGCAGTGATCAAGGGAACCACAGCCTGGCTGTTCAACCTAAATAACCCTCCTCCCCCCACCACACCCTTAACCTCCCACTGCTTGCTGCACCTCAGCGTCTGAGGCGTGATCCTGGAACACGAAGCCGTAACAGAGCCCTGGTGCTAATTCAGCTGGCGGCAGAATCACAACTTTGACTTAATAAGGAGCCTTTACTCAGAGCATGCCTGGCAGGACTTGAACATGCTGAGACCTAATTAGGAACATCACGTGCTTGGCTTCCCTTGCTTGCTCACCAGCTGAATGAATGTGCAAGTCACTCAGCTCCTTGCAGGAGCAACAAACATGAACCCAAGGGGAGTGGCACCTGCAGGAGTGGGTGGGGAGCTTTGCTTCTCCGCTCTAATCCCCCAGCAGCTCCCTAGGGGTGTATAATGTCTGTGCAGCCTGAGTGGAGGTTGGCCCCAACCTGCTCTGAATACCCTGTGACAGATGCTGCAGGGAACAAGTCTGCTCTGAGCAGAGACTTGGGATTACCCCACACACACACACGGCCTCTCTGGATTGGGAGGCTCCCTCGTGCTGGGAAGGACACAAACACAAGATGCACCACAGCTCCTGCCTGGAGGCAGGTGTTGTAAACAGGGCTCACCATTATGACTGAGGCATGTTTTTTAGGGATTAAACACATTCAGCAGGCTGGAGATGCTGAATACAGCAAATAAGCCAGAGGGAAGATAATATTTTACTGTAAAACAGAGCAGTCCTTAGAGACTAACAAAAATAGATACTTAGGATCATGAGCTTTCATGAGCAAAACTCACTTCATCAGATGAGCTGGAGTGGAAATAACAGAACCAAGATATTTATAACAAGGTTACAAGGTTCTGTTATTTCCCCTTCAACTCCTCTGATGAAATGGGTTTTCCCCAAGAAAGCTCACGTTTCTATATATTGTTGTTAGTCTCTAGGGCTACATCTACACTGCAGCCTTTTGTCAGCAGAGACAACGCACATGTATATAATCTGCCGATGCTTTTTGCAGAAGAGGTTTTTGAGCAAAAACAAGCAGTGTAGAGGGGGTCGTTTTGCACAAAACCCCCCTTTTGCACAAGATCCTGGATACCTCCTTTTTTGAGGCATAAGGGATCTTGCACAAAAGGGGTTTTTTTTGCGCAAAACGGCCCTGTCTACACTGCTTGTTTTTGCGCAAAACCTCTTCCGCAAAAAGCATCGGCAGAGAATATGCAAATGACAGAGACATTTGCATTGTCTCTGCCGACAAAAGGCTGCAATGTAGACGTAGCCTAGGGGTACGTCCTCACAGCAGCGTTATTGCACGTTTACACTGCAAGTCCATTATTTTGAAATAAAGATCTTCTTATGCCGACTTCAGTAAACCTCATTGTATGAGGAGCAAGAGAAGGTAGAGGAAGAGTGCTCTCTTTCGAAATAACTGCTGTGTAGATGTGCCCAAATTCAAAATAAGCAATTTGCGTCGCTCAAGTTGTGTAGCTTATTTTGAGTTTAGCCCCGCTGTATAGACGTACCCTAAGATGCCACAGGACTACACTTCTGAGACTGTAGAACGCAGCTCTTTGCAGGCAAAACCTCAGAACGTCATGCCTGTCCCAGAGGGACAGTGCCCCTTTAATAACGGACGGGGCACTGAAAGCAGAGGCTGTGATTTTCAGACATGGGGCCAAGCTCCTCAATCAACATTTATGCTCAGGCAGGACCTGGCTCAATAGTCAGAAGCTTCAGTTGTCTTCAACAGAGCTTGGCCATTCTGGAAGCCAGGCCAGTATTGAACTTAAAGACCTGGATGCCAAGCGTCGAGGTTTGAAAAGTTTGCCCTAAATTACTAAAACCCCACGAATGCAGGACAATGCACGACCCAGCCCAGCTCAGCTCCTTAGTTTTCATGCTGCAACATTGCTCCTCTGTGCCTTGCATTTTGCCTGTGTGGAGTCCTGTAGGACAAGGACTTGGCTGCTTTGCATGGCAAGAAAGTGCCCCACGCAGGGTGGCTGCTAGATAAAGTAATGACCCCAAAATAGTTCCCAGGAGACCTGGCCAATGCCAAGATTCTGGTGCAGCCAGCAAGCAATAACTGACATGGACCCATGCCATGAAAAACGTCCTCTCAGACTGTCAGCACTGGTACCAGGCCTGTGTTTGTGCAGCACCCAGCAAAAGAGGCTTTGGCTGCTAGGCACCATGTGATTAGGACTAAGAGCATGACGGGTTTGCAATGTTATAGTCTCTTCTCCCTCCTTTGCTGTGTCTTGGCTGCTTTTTAAGCCAAATCTCATGAGCAGAGGAGATGCCCCAGGCAGGCGGCAGCTCTGTCGAGCTTGGCTGCTTTCTGTGTTCCACAGACAGGCCACACAGATGCCCTGTCATCAGCTGGGCGTGCAAGCTGCACTATGCGAGAGGGTCCCCAGAAGTTCCCTTAATGTGCTATCATGGGACCTCTGCTCAGCTCCCCTCAAGGGCCCCAGCTGCCTCGGGGCACGTCCACACAGCAGGGCTAAAGCCGAGTTAAGCTACGCAACTTGAGCGACGTCAATTGTGTAGCTGAAGTCGAAATAGCTTATTTTGGCTCTTGGCGCAGTCTACACAGCAGGAAGAGCGAGTTAGAGTCCTCCGCCTTCCCCTACTCCTCATACAATGAGGGTTACAGAAGTCGGAGGAAGAAGTCCTCTAGCTTGACATTATTTTGACATTATGTTGAAATAACTGTTTGGCTACGTCTAGACTAGCATGATTTTCCGGAAATGCTTTTAACGGAAAAGTTTTCCGTTAAAAGCATTTTCAGAACAGTGTCTAGATTGGCACGGACGCTTTTCCGCAAAAGCACTTTTTGCGGAAAAGCGTTCATGCCAATCTAGACGCGCTTTTCCACAAAAATACTTTTGCCCGAACGGGAGCAGCATAGTATTTCCGCAAGAAGCACTGATTTCTTCCATGATATCGTCAGTGTTCTTGCGGAAATTCAAGCGGCCAGTGTAGACATTTGGCAAGTTTTTCTGCAAAAGCAGCTGCTTTTGCGGAAAAACCTGCC